TGGTCCTAAAACGAATTAGTTAGAAAACAAATGACTATTAAGTTTAACATATTTAGATTTTTACAGCTATGGTGAGAAACGTTTAAAATCTACAACAGCCCTGTCGCGTCCTTTGAGATATACTAATGATGCGACAAAAGAGGTATTTGACATTGACCGGTATCGGCACTCTAGGGATTTGGACGTCCGCGGTATGCACACTCTGCAACCGTCTTCGATTCCATCCATTAGCCACTCGCAGGGAGCTATTTGACTAAGTGCATTGTTTTAAGATTTAAAAAGTAAAGAATATTTTATATTTTTATGTACGTTTCTTTGCAAAGCTATATTTAATTATAATATTCTTTAAAAGTATATTCATATAATTGAAGAATATTTTGTATGTACAGTACAGTACCAGTACATCCACCACATATTTTATTTCACCAAGTAAGTTTTTATTTTATTTTTAATTGTAGCCCTTATATCGTGGCTAGCAATTTGGAATGTAACTGTGATATTAAAAATGCATTTAGAGAAGTCTACGGTTTTTACTGGCTTATCAAATAAACGATACGAATGGACACTAGACCATCACTGATGCGTAATTGACTGATTGCCCCTGGATGTCGGCTTCTTACAGAAATACAGCTTCCCTATCATCAAATGTCACGGCACGCCCCTGCCGTAACAATAATAACCCAGACTGCCGCACACCCAATCCTGACAAGACCAAAACTTGTCAACAGACTGACCAGAATGCAACCACCAATGGCATAAAAGCCATGAATATCTTGGATGCTTGGGCGGCACATAATGACTGGACCTACGATGACCTTGTCCAATAATATCACAACCTGTTCACCATGCAGAGAAATAACAGACTGAGCGACCGACCTCCTAAACCCCCGTGGTGGAACCTTGACTGTCAACGAGCGCTTGCATCCAAGCGTAAAGCTTATCATTGCTACCACAGACACATCAATCAAGATAATTGGATCCAAGCCAAAAAAGCCACTGCGGAATTACAACGCTGCATCATCATCCAGAAGCATGCTTTTTGGGAACATATGGCGTCCTCTCCCCTGTACAAGAATAACATATGGAGCATCCTCCGTCGCCTCCACAATAGTAACAACTCCCCCCAAGCCACCTTGTCTTGTGGCACATCAATCGTACACTAATCAACCCGAAAGATCAAGCGGCCAATGTATAAAGAACCAAAAAGGAACAGTCGTCGCCTCCAAAAAATGGGAAGCATAGATGGAAAAAGGAATGACGAAGAGGACGAAGAAGCAGACGAACAAATAGCGATATGGATCCGCTCAAGAGCAGCAGCACATCGTGGGCATCCACCTCAAGCAAGAAGGGATAGTATAGAACAAGTAGGAGATAAGACCGCGGGCAAAAATGATGTGAGACCCCAGCCTCATCATAACCTGCGAGGGGGGAGGATTGATTATCACAAGTTGCACCACGGTGCTTGATTCTAAAGGGGGGCATATGTGGCGGTACGCCATGTCTTTGTAAATAGGGGTAGATATAAGTTTTATTTCTCCTAAATTCCTTTGTCTTTAACGTCTGTTTCTAGAACTTTCTAACCTATTCTTTTTCTGTGGGTGGAGGACAACCTTTGTCCAAGGACAAAGGGAGAAGACAAAGGGGACATTAAGAAGCCCTGAGGCATCAGTAAAACGAACAAGACACTTTTGGGTCAGCGTCTGAGGTGTACAGATGTATGAAAGAGCAAGCTAAAGGTTTGTCACCTAGTGGGACAAAAAGAGAAGGCTTGGAAGTTGTCTGCGAACGGATGAAAATTAGAAGGACACCCAGATTAAGACTTCAAAAAACGCTCTCAAATTCTCAAGAGACGGAAACGAGAGGAAGGAAATTGATTCAAATACCGATATAGAGAAGATCGGAGACTGCCAAATTTACCCGGGTACCTTCACAAATCTGTCCTTTATACTTGTCTCTTCTCTTCATATCTCTTAATTTCTTCACCCTTCTTCCTTAGCATATAAGTTAGATTAAGGTAGATTTAAGTTAGTTGTAGTATCTCAAACCATAATTTTTCATTGTCGCGAGCACGTGTCTTATGCCTGTGAAAGCATATAGAATTTGTCGGACGGCTTCGAACTTGTGTGCGTACTATAGTTTGGGATCAAGTGTGTTTAAACGAACCAGGTGTACAAAGGACCACGTAAGTGAAGTTAAATAAAAATCCTGTTTAATTTATAGTTACTTCTTTGTCATCCTTTTTTGTCCTCCACACCACCACAACGTTCTTAGCTAGGTCGCTGCCCTAGTTTCTAGTTCAGAGAGAGAGCGCTTTTATAAAATCTACCCCTAAATATCTCTAGGTGGAAGGAAGAGTTGGCGAACGTCGTCTGTATGGAAGGGTGTGGTGTCTTCTCCAACAGGATTACAGTCCTTGGCATGGAGATTGACGAACACAAGTACTAAGAATACCTTCCGTGTGCGGACGCCCTGAGCTTCCAGTGATCTCCCCTTTTATATCTTTTTCGTGCGAGAGCTGACACTTCATCGACTCTTGTTGACGATGACGGTGCATTCTTCACACTTAACTGTAAACTTCCTCAGTTCATTGTTACAAACTCGGTGAAATTTGATATAGTTTAAATTCCTTGGGTTTTTTCAAGTTACTTAACCGAAAATTTAGATGTTTAAGAGGCCCGTACAAATCCGAAAAATCCACGCTTCACACATAAATAACATTTTGAAAAATACATTGTTTAGTTTTTTAAATTTATGATGCATTTCTGATTTTAATTGATCTTTTTGTATTATTATGACTTTAGAATCATAAATGTTTTTGTAATAATCTTAAAATATTTTTGAGGAAATAATTTGAACTAAGAATTTTTCAGTTTAAAACAAAATTGAATAAAAACTCTTTTTGTCATTTTCAGATTTGTTTTTTACGATTTACAAATTGGGCCATACTGGGGAGCACTAGACTGCACCCTGTTTCCAATATGACCTACTTGTCACTTTTCACATTTGATCTTATTGCATTTTTTACATAATAGTTATGAGAACCAAGTATTTCTTTAGTTTCCCAATTAATCTCTCTAGATGATAGCTTAGTCATTTTGGGAAAAATTGGAGTTGGTCAAAATAATAATGAAAGCTTTAGGTTAGCCATAATGGGATCCCTACTCTAATAACTCAAAACATGTTAGCTTGGTGTTAATATTCACTGGACTGATAGTGATATTTCAGTAAATGAATTAAATTTAAATAAAGGATGCTTTAACAAAACTACAAAAAAATTATTTTTCAAATGCAGTTTTAAATTATGTATATATTTCAAATAGATATAATGATACTTCTCATAATTTAACAACAGTGGAAGAAAAACATTATATATTTGAAATGACTAAAATTTGTCAATTTTTATTAATTATAAAATAATATGAAGTAAATCTTCAAACATTATAAAGAAATTAAATAATAAATATTGTTAATCGTCCAATTGTTTAATGCCAAGTAATAAATTATAATAAGCAGGAGAAACAAATTTATAGGAGTGCAGGATCAAGTTCTGGTTCTTCACACAGTATTTCCCAGTTAAATAAGGATAAAGTGGATCAGTACGCACTTTCATTTCTCCCGAGTGACACCAAACAGTTTTATATCTAAAGATATTGAACAGTGAACAAAATAAAAACAGAAACTGGTCCGTCTCTTGTCGATAATAGATTCGATAGGGAACACGCAAGTAAACAAAAGATACAACCCAATTGAAAATTACCAATGAGATTAAACTTAATATTATTTCTACATTGTTCTCTAGTAGACTTGTAGACCAAATTATGTTTTCACCCATCCAATACGATATTCCTAAATATATTCCACCAGCCATAGTAAGAAATGTTGAGAGAGTGACTACAAGTTGAGAACCCCTTACGTAGTTATCTAGACCAGCATGATACACCAGTTTGTAATGTTCTCTTTCAATATTGTCTCTCCGATAGTAATCTGGTCTTTTGAAAAATCCATACAATTTATTCACAGTATCCAAAAAGTCTGAATTGTTTTTCTTGTCAAATGAATCCTAAAAATATAAAAAGTACATAATTTATCTCCTATGTACAAAAATAAAATGTTCTTTATTAAATCTTTGCATAACAATATTTTTTAATATAAATGTCCAATAACCCATTTCATTATAAATTGTACAGGAAAAACTAATACAGGTGATAAAATAAAAAATTTTTTGATTTTTTCTGGTTATGAACTCATCTTTGTGTCGATAACCAATACACCAGTATAAAGTCCTATTAATAAGTTATGTCCATGTATACAATTTATAATATAGTGTAATTAAGGACTGTAAATTTAGTCCAATAACCCAATTTCTAAAGAAGTCTGGCCAAACAATCTGCCAGTTTATATCCAGCTATAATACATCTACTATTTAATAATTAAATTTTAGTAATTTTGTCTACAGGTAGACATTAGGTGCTATCTCTTAATAAATTTAACAATTATAAATAAATTGTAGAATTTTGTCGGATGGCAATTTTATGAAAATTAATTTGAAGACATAAGTAGTAAGGATAGAAAGAAAAATGAAGATGTCTGTAAGATCAGCCAGTTCCAATTTTAAATTTGTAATTTTAATTGGATATTTTTCTGTGTTTTTTAAAGGAATGCTTTTAAACTTGACAGCCAAGCAGCCTAAAAAGAAAGGTCAGGTTGTCAAATGTTTGTATTCTGGAACACAAGAAATGAATAAATGGTGGTTCCCAATTTTGGACAGACTATGTCTTCAAATTAATTTCAATTATAAATAAATTAATATTTAATTTTAGAAAGTTCTGGAAGAAAAGAATTGGCCCAGAGTGGGACTTGAACCTCTAACTCCAGCTACCAGTTGTCGATGCAAGTAACCAGGATGGTTATATCTAAATTATTAATGGTTCTGAAGGCAACGGATTGGATGAAGATACGGGTAGCATAACTGGCAATGCATCTGAATGGCATGCAGGAGTTGTGAGTTTGAGTCATGCTCCCAGCCAATTTTTTTTTCCAGAACTTTCTAAAATTAAACATTAATTTATTTATAATTATTAAATTTACGAAAAGATGGCGTCTAATGGCCATCTCTTGATAAATTTATAACCTACCTCTAGATAAAATTACTTAAGATTTAANTAACCGACGTTTCAGATAAACAACGCTCTACTGTAACATAATTAATATCAATGGCTACAGGATATATTTATAATCCTTAAATATAATATTTCCTTATTTAATTTTTGATAAATCTAATATTCTAATAAATTTTCATACTTAACAATGAGAAGATTCTAAGCTGTAATACAGTATTTTTTTGCAAATCTTGGCCAGGCTGCTGCAATGTGCAGTAGCACAGATGAGTCTATGTTAAATAAGTGGATGGTACAGAATATATGAATTTAATATATTTTGAAGCATATCTCAGATAAAAGTCAGATTCTCTATAAAAAATTCAGTGTCTCTTTCAAGTAAAGTATAGTTTTGATTTGTGTTCCCAAGTAAGATTTGTGAAACATGTTTTACTACATAAATTTCATATTACTACAACAAAATATAGGTAACCCTCATATAACATGTTTTACTACATAAATTTCATATTACTACAACAAAATATAGGTAACCCTCATATAACATGGTACTTATACAACATGATTTCAATATAATGCAATTCACAAATTATAGTTTATTACAAATTGTCTACATGGACATAACTTATTAATATTTACAGGGAAACTACTACAGGTGATAAAATAAAGAATTTTTTGATTTTTCTGATTATGAACTCATCTTTGTGTCGATAACCAATACACCAGTATAAAGTCCTATTAATAAGTTATGTCCATGTATACAATTTATAATATAGTGTAATTAAGGACTGTAAATTTAGTCCAATAACCCAATTTCTAAAGAAGTCTGGCCAAACAATCTGCCAGTTTATATCCAGCTATAATACATCTACTATTTAATAATTAAATTTTAGTAATTTTGTCTACAGGTAGACATTAGGTGCTATCTCTTAATAAATTTAACAATTATAAATAAATTGTAGAATTTTGTCGGATGGCAATTTTATGAAAATTAATTTGAAGACATAAGTAGTAAGGATAGAAAGAAAAATGAAGATGTCTGTAAGATCAGCCAGTTCCAATTTTAAATTTGTAATTTTAATTGGATATTTTTCTGTGTTTTTTACAGGAATGCTTTTAAACTTGACAGCCAAGCAGCCTAAAAAGAAAGGTCAGGTTGTCAAATGTTTGTATTCTGGAACACAAGAAATGAATAAATGGTGGTTCCCAATTTTGGACAGACTATGTCTTCAAATTAATTTCAATTATAAATAAATTAATATTTAATTTTAGAAAGTTCTGGAAGAAAAGAATTGGCCCAGAGTGGGACTTGAACCTCTAACTCCAGCTACCAGTTGTCGATGCAAGTAACCAGGATGGTTATATCTAAATTATTAATGGTTCTGAAGGCAACGGATTGGATGAAGATACGGGTAGCATAACTGGCAATGCATCTGAATGGCATGCAGGAGTTGTGAGTTTGAGTCATGCTCCCAGCCAATTTTTTTTTCCAGAACTTTCTAAAATTAAACATTAATTTATTTATAATTATTAAATTTACGAAAAGATGGCGTCTAATGGCCATCTCTTGATAAATTTATAACCTACCTCTAGATAAAATTACTTAAGATTTAATTATTAAATAGTAGCCATATTAGATACCCAACATAATACAGCAGATTATTTGACAAATATTTCTATTTTTATATAATACAGTAGAGCGTCGTTTATCCGAAACGTTGGTTATCCGAAAGGATTCCAGTCGGCAAATTTAAATTTTCGCTAGTGGTGTGGCGCTACAATCTTTGGCTATATCTTGGGCTACTCCAATATTTTTTTGTTGATGTATGTTTTTTAGCTGGCAGCACTGGCACTTTTGTGTGGTGTTTTTCTGAGGACTGTGTGTCGTGCTGAATCGAACATTTTTGATACTAGATTAACTTCTAAAGTATAATTTCTTTTGTTTTTATATTTTTCGATATATTTATTTTGTTTGTAAAAAATAAAGAAATAATTTTTAACAATGCAATAGCCACGATTATTATTTTAAAAAGTTTACGTTAGGCTTAACATCAACGAAATTCAATGCGAAGCGACACGCAACGGAGAAAAATTTCAACATGGGATATGTTAATGTATTTTTTCGTACATAATCGGTTATCCGAAAAACCCCAGTCCCCAATTGATTCGGATAAACGATGCTCTACTGTATTATAGTTATCACAAAAAAGCAAACCCAATAAATGCTTCAATGTATTTCAAAAATTTATTAAAGACAGCTTTAAACTGTAAGAAATGTTTTATTATTAATTATATAATGAAATTGAATCAAGTTTCTTTCTCATTTTCAGTATCAGACATTTCATCTTTATTCAGCTATGAAATTCTTTTGATTATTAATTAAATTGAAATGAATATACCATCAAGGAAACATTGGATGTCATTCACTCACAATAATTGGTCATTGCATAGTAAAATGGCATTTCTGCATTCAGAACTAATCACAGTTTGCAAAATAATTTATCTCCCTTAGTGATAGGACCTTATACCCATAGAATGGATATAAGGTTCTATCACTCCTATAGAAAATTAATTGTATGTTCCAGTTCTTGTTTGTTTTGGATAAAAGAACATGAATAATGGCTGATACAAGTAACTACACCATTTAACAATGTATAATTGCTAATTGTGGGATTTATGGAAAGGAAAAAACAAGGAAAACAATGGAAGAAATTCATGCATACTTCCAGCAGAGATGTGGACAACACCCTCCTCCAAAAATAACTTTTCTGATGGGAACACAACAGGTAGGGAAAAGGATAATCAAAAAAGTAGAGGATCCTCCACTAGATGTGAAAAATGCACAAAGTCAAGGAGCCAGTGCTGAGATTATCCATGAAATCAATGCAGAAAACATGCTGCAGATCTGGCTGTACCCTGAATGACAATGCTTAAGCTTACCATTTGCATTAATCATTGAAAAAAAACTGGATGCACAAAGTATAATCAACTCCAAAAACACCTAAATCCAGTTACAAAAACAATTTGTTAAATGAACTAACATTTTCAACCTTGTTTAATTAAAGGCCATCCTAATTCTTAAGATTAAACAGAAAAATGGAACAAAAATTTAAAATACATTTGTTTGAATGATTTGATTTGTATTACATATCATCTGCTGAATGTAAAAAATGGTAAATATTTAACATATGAATAACACAAATACATAAAAGTACTTAAAATAAAATAAATTACTTAAAGGCACTAAAAGTAACATAAATATAATACATAAAAATAAGTAAAAATAAAAATTAAGATACATAAATGATCAAAAATATAACAAAGGATCTTTTAAAAATAGTAATGATGTAACAAAATCAAAAACAGATATACTGTACTAGACAATGTCAAAAAATGCTATCCACACGTGACATTAGTGCTGTATCTCTATTGTTAATTGCAGTCCCTTTATTAACTGCTTTATATACTGCTGGCCAAGTAAAATGCAACACCATGTAGGACTCTAGATATTGCAGGTGTTGCATTTTATTTGGCCAGCAATGTAGATTTTGAGTATTTCCAAGTATTTAGGAAAAATGGAGATGAGAGACAATTTATTCCAAATACATTGATGATATCCTAATTTTGTGGTCAAATAATCATCCTATCTGGAATTTCCTTGATACCATCAACATTATACAAATTGACACTACTCCTGGAGCAGAGCAAAAGTTACCACTAAGTGCATTTCTTTGATGTTCTCATCACTTTCAACAGTGATACTCTTTCTAATCTTACTGATGTGTATTGAAAATCCTTACAATCCACTTTTTATTCTACCTTTATCTCTTGATCTGCTTGTATACATACAAGTCTGGTGCTTTCAGGGCCTTGATCAAAAGAGCCTTTTTCCACTGTTAAATTCATCCCTTGGAGAATGGGAGCTAAGCCACATATATTATATTGT